TCAAGAGACAAATATAAGCCATTTTGTGGAGGTAAATATTAAAACTCCTGAAGAACTTGTATTTAAATCTCAGCTTGAAGTTATCACGCCTATGTTTTCTCAGCTTCCCTTCTGTTAATTGCTCTAAATATAAGCTATCCCACCTTGACGAGCTCCTGTATGTGAGGATTCATCAGTGATGTTTGAAAAGAGTCTTCTGTAAACAGTGGGGGAATGGTTCCTGTTGGGAGAGAAATCATCACCTTTTTTCCTGTACTTCTTGTCATTTTCTGTCAATCACATCCTGGGCCGCAGTAGGGTGCAGGCTGTCGGTTTCTACTTTTGAGTGGATAGCAGAGTGAGTCCCTTATAGTCTAACACAGGTGATAGCAGTGCTTTTGGAAAAAGTGGTTTAAACAGATCCCAGGGTTGCCCCCAATTACTGTCTTATGCAATTCTAGGTAGACTGATGAAGTATGTATCTGTGTTTAGAAAGAAGATTGCTGGGGTTGGAGAAATGGCTCAGTGGTTAAGAGCACTGGCTGCTCTTCTAGAGGACCCAGGTTTGATTCTCAGCACCTACGTGGTGGCTAACAACTGTCTATAACTCCAGTTCGAGGGGATCTGACTCTTCTGACCTCTGTGGGCATTGCACCACCCAGGTGCACTTACATATGTGTGGGCAATACATTCATACACATAAAATAAAAAATAATAAAAGAATACAGAAAGAAGGCTGGCGGAAGACTTCTGCTCAAGCCAGTGTTTCTTGGTTTGGGGAATAGCAGCTTTTGCCAAAACTGTACTGAGGGAAAGTAGACGAGGACAGGGTGACATTGCTGAAAAGCCAAACAAAGACTCAAGACTGGCCTCAGTCCAATAAATATGGAAGTGAACTCTCTGTAAATGCTCTTAATTCTATCAAGATAGGGCCAATATTCTTTCTTTTTGACAACCAGACGTGGTAGCACAGGCCTTTAATCTCAGCAGGTGGGAGGCAGAGGCCTCAGTGATAAAACAACAGCAACAACAACAACAAAACAAGCAAACAAAACCAATTGAAGTAACAGGAGCTTTGATCTTGAAGAGAATTTGCAGAGAGAAAGGGAAAAAGGAAGAGACGGTTTGGTCTAAACACCTGGGATGTGCATCATGGTAAAGGATAACATTTAAAATGTTTCACTTAGCTCTGGGGTGGTGGCAAAGAGATATCTCCTAGTTTCCTCAAGACTATAGGATAGCAATAGCCTGATTCTCAAAAGTCACAGGATAGCTGGGCATGGTGGCACATGCCTTTAATCCCAGCACTCGGGAGGCAGAGGCAGGCGGATTTCTGTGAGTTCAAGGCCAGCCTGGTCTACATAGTGAGTTCTAGGGCAGCTGGGGCTACTGGGAGACCCTGTCTCAAAAAAAAAAAAAAAAAAGTATCGCAATAGGAAAGCTTCCACAATGTTGAAAATAATCTTGCATCACTGAAAAGTTCCTGAAATGTTCACTCTCTTACAAGTTATCTCCAAAAGTATGTCTGGCTACATCCAGATATCGAATCCTGAAATGCCTATTCCGGAATATAGAAATAAAACTAAGAAATGACTTGCATTGACACAACTTTCATTGAGGAGACCAGAGCAGCAGGCAAGTTGGTACCTGTGCATAATAAAAGCAGATAATTAAAAACAACAACAACAACAAAAAAGACAGCAAACGTTTTAAGGACCCAAGCTTGAAATCCATAATCTGATCAAAGTTAGGAAGTTTCAGCCTATCAAGTAACTCCACTCAGTCAACAATAGGACTTGGTCAGTAAGGTCTTTTGCAAAGCAATTGTGGTGAAAATTGGTTAAGCATACCTATGGGCATTTCCAGAGAGGATTAGATCATAAGGATGCTAATTGAATTAATGATTTAATCCATTGATGGAGTCCAAATTGAATAGACCATTGGGAGGTGGAGGGCCCTGGAAAGAGGAGTTTGGTTGGAAGATTCAGTCACTGGGCATGTCTTTGAGGTACTCCTCAAAGTACCCTGGCCACTTCCTTTTATCATTTTTGCTTTCTGTCCACCATCAGGTGAGTAGCCTTTCTACATGTTTCTGTCACCATGATGGTCTGCCTCACCTTAAGCCCAGGACCAATGAAGTCAAAGACTTTAGGCCAGAATGCCTAAAACTGTGAGCTAAAATATCTCTCCCACCTTCAGTTGTTCTGCCAGATGTTTTGGTCAGTGATAAAACAACAACAATAACAAGAAAAGCAAACAAAACCAACTGAAGTAACAGTGACTCTGCCTTTCTTTAACCTCAGGTTCCTATATACTGTGATTTCAAGAGGTAGACTCAGACTTTGAAAGGAGTACACGAGGGTTTCAGTGAATTCTGCTGGAAAATCATGCTGTAAGAACTTCAGGTGTGGGCTGTGGAAATGACAGAAGGAATCTGCTTGGGGTTGTGAGTATTTGCGCAAAGTAAAATCAACAAATAACACTCGGGCTGTGAGTTTCCTGCTGTGCTAGTTTTAGAATAAAGGTGTTTTTCTTCTCAGCTGAACTCTCCATGGACTTAAATCATTGACTTCCTTGGAAGTAATTTCAGTACATAGTCAATAAAATAGTTTACTGTTTTATGTAAGAAGAAAGAAGTCTGGTATCTCATTGTCCAATGAATTTGAGTACAAATATGCTTAAAGATATCTTTAATAGTCTGCAACATGTCTCTGATCAGAAAACCTGAAAGGTAGCCTGTAGACTGCTTAGAAAACTAACCAAAGAAGGAAAGATGGGTAAGAGAAGATTCTGTTTTATTTGGAAATACTCCACCAATTTGTTAGAATTATGACCATCAGTTTGTAACTCTAACAGAGAAGTCATCTCATGTTAATGACATGCTACTTAGAATCAACACTTTTCACTTCCCACAGTGTGAATTGTTATAACAAGCAGGCCTTTGTAGCAGGTGGCCCTGGTCACTTGACAGAGGCTAGAAAGAGATTCCTTCCTCCCAAATTATTCACTTCATCTCTTATCGGGTATGAAATCATGCTACCTAAGAGATTTAATTCTTGGATCATGAAAGTCTTCTGTTCATTGGTACGAAATCTACTTTCAAAGTATGAATACTCCTGAGTTGGGTACTTATTAAGTACTGGCGTATATTTTAACTTGACCACTAGCTGAGAGACTGTGGATGTTGGTTTGTCTTTCTTCTTTCCAGTAATGGGTTATTTCTTCCTTTAGAAATACTGTTCTCCCAGTCCAGCTCTGTGCTCTCACTGGGAGCTGCCAGCCAGAACTTCCTTTCCCCACCCATATTTTCCCTCTACCCCGCCACCAAGTGGTAGACGCGAGACCAGAGCTTGTCCATCTGTTATTCCCCAGCCCTGGCACACAGATGGGCTCATTCCAGGGATGGGTACTCAACCCAAGCCAGACAGTCCTTTCTTGGGCTTTTTCTAACTAGAGTTAGTGGGAAAATATTTGTTTCCTTGTCATAGTTGCTATGTGCAAAGCTTGGTTGTTGATAATCATGTTTCCATTCTCTTGGACATCTAACTTAAGAGAAGGAAGTCTCAATGTAGAGAGCAGCAGAGATGAATGATAAAGAGTGTCCTGGGGGGGATCTGAGATTCCACTCCATTGGCTAATAGTATGCTGTTTCTTGATTTGTTTACATGAACCATAAATCGTCCTTCCCCTGAAGTGTTAATAAGCCTGGGGCATCTGCTATTTGGATTGAGAATCCCAAACAAACATTTTATAAAAAAGACCCAAGATAACTAGTGGAGAGGTAGTGTTTTAAGTCCAAAAATTGAGAGAAAGAGAGAGAGGGAGAGGGAGAGGGAGAGGGGTGGGCAGATCTGAAAGGAAGCTGTGGAGAGAGAGAGAGAGAGAGAGAGGACACACAGAGAGAAATTGCTAATTGTTTTGTGGATACATCGGGTCATTGTGTGTTAAAGACTGGATATCTTTTCACAGTATTTTGAAGGGACTGAGAAGTAAGGCAAGGTGACCAGGTCTCTGAGAAGGTAATATTATTCTAGGACCATGATGGACTTGACAAAAAAGTCTTTATTTTTGCTAAATCAGGGTAAAGTGGCGGCAGACCCATACCTGTAATCACAGCATCAGGAGGCTGATGCAGGAGGATTGACACTTCAAAGCAAACCCAGCCTACATAATGAGACCTTGTCCCAAACACCACCACAAACCCTTTAAAAACCAATGTGGGGGCTGAGGAAATGACTAAGTCTATGAAGTGTATAAGCACGAGGCCCCAAGTTTGGATCCCCAGCACCCACATAAAAAGCTGAGTGCCTCAGTGCATGTCTGTAACCCCAGCACTGGAGGAACAAAGAGAGGAGACTCTCTACAGCTCTCTGGCCAGCCTGTCTAGCTGAGACAGTGAGCCCCAGTCTCCAAAACAGAGAAAGCAATGAAGGAAATCACCCGCCGTCAAACTCTGGTCCTCCAAAGTGTATACACACACCTGCCCCCCATGTAGCTACTAAAATCGTTCTGACTTGCCCAGATTTCATTCCCAAGCAGCACTCCCTGTTGCTTCCTTGCTCTTCTGTGTACTGACAAGACAGAATTTCTTCCTTCCTCATGTGTATCTTAGCCTACTGGCATTTATTTCCAACAAACTCTTGGCCCTACTCTAACAGCCCCATCCCTTGAGGTACCAGGCCCTCCTTCTCAGGCTCTGCCCATCCCTCTCTGCCCCATCCCCAGCTTGTTCAATGACATTTCTCAGATGTAATCCACTCCAGCTCTATGTTCAGAGAAACCCTCTTCACAACTGCATATTTCTTCTCTCCCTGCCATAAGTTGAAAACAAATCCAGCCTGGAATTGGCAGTTCATGTGCTACTTCTCCTCACTCGTGATGGAGGCCAGGCTAGACCAGCACACAGCAGGGTCAGAGTGCCGCCAAGCACAGTGACCTGTTTTTTGTTTTGTTGCCAAGGAATCTATATGCATCACCCAGAATGAGGGGCCAATGTGCACCTGTCACATGGTAATACTGACCTCTAGGGGCAGTCCTTCCTTCACAGAGCATCTCTATCTTCTCATTGAGTTCCAGGACAGTGATGGCAGCCTCTTGCTTAGCTATTGCCAAGTCAGTTTGTAGCTTTTTCGCTGTCTCTTTGTGCTTTAGTTTCTTAAAAAAATAAGAATTTCCCGTCACTGGAGATGACAGATGCATCAAAGGGAGAAAAGGAATTAATGACATCTGGGCAAACATTGCTTTTGAAGACCTCCTTAGCGGAAACACTCCATTTATCTAAGCTGAGTCTCCTTTGAGGTCTGTGACAGTGTCTGTGCTTCTTTGAAAGCACTTGCATCCCCAGTAATAAAAGCCCACTCTCTTTATCATCAGATTTCTTTGCACTCTTGGAGGGTTTTCATCTGGATCCGAAACCTGTGGACTGGCTACTTATTTACAACAGAGGCAACTAGAAAAACTCTACTTGCCACTTGGCATTTACTGCCAAGATTGCTAAGGCCTCCAAGTGTCGGTTTTCATCTGGATCCGAAACCTGTGGACTGGCTACTTATTTATAACAGAGGCAACTAGAAAAACTACTTGCCACTTGGCATTTACTGCCAAGATTGCTAAGGCCTCCAAGTGTCAGGTTTCCACCCCAACCTGTAAATAGATTCGTGTGAAATAATCAGAGTCTTGATTCTGAGCCATCTCCCCTGACATTTGAATTCAGAAGTATATTTGCATTCAAACATACTCTAAAATGTCTGATGCTGCTGCTGAGTAGAGACAGCTGCTGATACTGCATCAGTTATATAGGAAACATGGTCAAGGGTAAGCGTGTTTTTTTAAGCAGTGCAAGAGACGAAGGCCTGCCGTATAAACAGTATGATTTAAGTCTAAACCTTCCAGGGAACTATAATAGGAAGTTGTTGCGTAACAGAAGGATTCACCTTGGGCCTTTATGACTAGAAAGTTCCTTTTATGGATTTCAAAGTGGATTTGATTTGTCAGAATTGGATTCATTTGCAGAGTTGGTGCCACTGTCTGTTGTGACAAGTGCTGCATTTGCACACTTGTGTTGCTTTTGGGTGGCTGCCTTTCTACTGGAGAGCTCACCTTGCCAAGTCTTTGTGGCTGGTAATTAGGAAGCCCAGAAAATGAACAAACAACATTGCTTGTCAAACACAAATCTTGAGATAGGGAAAGGAATAAACCACTCCTAGGGAAGAATCTAGTCTTCTCTGGCTTCCGAAGGGCATGCACTCAGGCCACAGGGAGTCAGCTGTCTTGGAGAAGGAAGCTAGGAAAATCAATTAATCAAAGCTGAGGTTACAGAGGCACAACTCTTTCACTGGGAAGGCAGGTTGTTGGGCTAGGAGTGCCGATCAGGGGGAAGGCACATGCCAAGCATGCGTTAGAGCACGGGCCCCATCACCAGCACGGAAAAACATCAACAGAAAGAGATCGTTAAGCCAGGCATGGTGGCAGCCTTGTAATCTCAGCAATACCTGGGAGGTAGTGGCGAGAGGACCAGGAGCTCAAGGTCATTCTCAGCTGCATAGTGAGTTCAAGACCAGCTTGAGCTATAAGAGACCCTATCTTGAAAACTACGAACAAAACCAAATTGTCTTTCAGACCTAATCCAGGATGATAAGAGGATCGTAAAATCTAATTAAGGACATAAAAATGGCTGACAGAGAATGAGCTATTCTAAGGGATGTAGTCAAGGAACTTTTCTTCAGGGAATTAGAGGGCTGGAATTTGGCAGGGTTCACCCTTGGCAATCCACAGCCCATGTGCCCCGACTTTCCAGCAGCCCCTTCTGGAGATGTTATGGTTATCACTTCCCTGTGAAGCATCCCCACAGATGCCAGGCCCTGCACACCGAGCTGACCGGCTGCTGAAACACGAGGCTGAGAAGACCTTCCTGTAGGCCAGTAAACCCTCCTTGTTCCTTTCCTCCGAGGGTCTAAGTCACCAAAACCATAATTTGGATTGACAAGGGAGAAACCGAGTTGATCAGAGACTATGTCAGAACAGTCTCACAGTCAATGATTAAATTGTCAGGCTAATCTGTATGTCCCCCTCTCATGAGCTGGTTTGAATCAGCTTGTTCCTGAGGACCTTGCCCTTCTCAGGCCTATAGAACAGCACTGGTGAGGCAACTAGGTTCTCAATGACTTTTCTTATCCCTGCTTCTAGACTAGTCCATCAGATTTTCACAATGTGCTTTTACTACCCATAATACAGAAATGAACTTTGAGAAAGTGGAGATGATGAAGGGTTGATGAAGAAACACGAGGAATTCAGAAGGGAGAATGAACCAAAGTCTAAAAACAGAAGTAAATGATGACATGCATGTTGACATGCTGCGGGGTAGCTGTACTGATGGAGGCAAGCTGCACTGAAATGCTCAGAGAAGTAGAATGAGTTGATGATGGGCAGAGAAGCAGTCCTGAGCCCCTGCATGGCCTGTTTTCTACACAGTGCTCACTATGAAATGGCTTCAGCATTTCTGTATCTTGGAATCTTTAAAAATAAAATATTGGGGATGGGTTCAGAATTGAAGGTTTACCTTCATCATGGTTGCTTTTTTTTCTCTTTTGAGACAAGATCTCGTTATGTATCTCAGGTTAGCTCCAAACTTGAGAGTCTACTGCTAAGATTACAGGTATGTGAACTGTTCCTTAATTCTTAACCTTCCATATTCACTTTCTCAAACCATGCTATAATCACATTCATGTATTTTTTTCTAGAAACTAAGTTTCTTAAAGTACGCATTGATAATAACTAAAAAAAAGGAAAAATAAAGGCATCTTGGTGAGAATTGATAGGCTGTAACCAGGAGCTGACACAGTGTTAAGTTAGAAAAAGTCACATTTCCATTTTGACAAGAAGACAGAATGTAGGAGCCAAGGGCACAAGACATAGTGTTTCTTGATATCAGTTAAGAATTTCAACTCTTGCTCTTTTTGGTTTTGTTTCTCTGTGTTTGGGTTTGAACTCAGAGCCTTGTTACAACACTAAGCATGCATTCTACCTCTAGGCTATATGTCCCCAGTTCCTCAACTTTCATTTAAGACATTTAGGTCAAAAAAAAAAAAATCTAACTTCCAGATACATGTTGGTCTTCTCTTATGGTAATTATGTGTTGAGCCTTTTCTTGTTATTATAACATTTGTCTGCTGGCCATGTGACCTAAGAGGGAAATTGAAGCTATTTAGTTTGGAGAAGACAATATCCAGGGCAGTCATGACAGTTGACTTCAGTTATCTAAGGGATTATTCAAGAGGAGAGGAAGTTGAGTCAAACAGTGTTGTTCTAGAGATACCATGAAGAACAATGAGTCGAAAACATGAGGAGGCAGGTTTTGGCAGCACATAAGAAACCGCTCCCCAACAATGAGCTGCATCCATAATGATAGGATGGGTCCTGGCATCCTTCTACTCTGGGAGTGATCAAGCACAGACAAGATGACTATCTCCAGGCAGGCCCATGGGTCAAGAGGTAATTCTGAGTTTGGCTCACCCTCAATTCTTTCCACCTCTGGCTTCTTCCCATTCACTGGAAGGGCACAGCACAGGTAAGAATGAATGCTTCAGTCCTTGAAGCCTGGAGGACTGTTAACACTCATCTGGGACATTTTAAAGATAATTCTGGTATTTGTGAGAAACTGGATAAGAAGGTCTGTGGTTCCTTTAGAATCCAAGGATGATGTGACTCAAAACACATTAACTTTGTTATTTAGCTACAAGAAAAAGGTTAAGGGAAATTAAATTTACATTAAAAATTGAACAAAAGATCCAGATGTGTTGCCTAAGGTTTCTATTGGGACCTTTGGATCAGTCAAATACTTAAAAATTTTTTTGAACATTTTTTTCTCCATCTTCTTCAGACAGAACTGCTGTATGCTATTAATTCCTAGCTTTAACCAAGCCCTTTGGGCAGTTAAAAAATTCAACTTGCCAACGTGTTTTTTATTAGTCATTGACATCAAATGATTTCAACAATGTTAATATTTTCCTTTGCTTTTTTGGCATTCACCAGCCAGGCAACCCAAGTGTTGTACTTGAATCTAATGGAGTCTGTTATGGTGTCCTTAGTAACCAGGGACTCTCCTCAGTGATTACAGAAAGGATAGGAAGGTTCCTATTGCTCGGAGCTAAATTCCTATTACTCTGCTATTTTCCTATTTCTCCTACAGGGTGGAATGAGGGAGGAAGTCATGCATTTGAGCAATGTTTTGGAAAGGAAATATTTATCTGTATCATATTGCTAAATGGCTTCCATTATAACAAGTCAAGAAATAGCCAGGGAACTATTTATAGAAGAGTTTCAACAGAGAGTGGCTAGTGCTATTTAAAATTTCTGGTTATTTCCACATACTTTGAATCATGGCCTTGGGTTAAGTGGCCTTGTCACTTAATGGTCATGAGAAACTGGGCCAGGCACATGGCATCTCCAAACCTTAGACACCATTGCATAGGGCTACAGTGGGGATCAAATGACATAACGTATAAATGACAGCATCTTACACTATGCTTGCACTGTAGTAATATCTGTCATTATCATTATTCCTTGAAGCATGTAACCTTTCACTAAAACACTAATGTATCTGTCTTAAAGATATTGTTGTCACTCTATAGAAAATGAATTGATACTTATTTGAAACAAAATTTTAAATAATTTTTAGATACAAGTTTTCTGTGTGACTGCCTTGATTGCCTTCTCATTTTGTATGGGCAGACAAAATTTAACAATGTCCTGAAAACAGACATGTGAATAGCTTGATCCTATCTCCTTCCAGAGCTGGCCTGGTTCCTTAGGGATGCTGCTCACATGGAAGGAGGTGAGAAGTATTCTGAGGCTGTCACACATGCCCTAGGGCAACACACTCTTGTCTCAACAAGAGCAAAGATGTCTACCCTGTGGTTGAAGTCTACCTGGGTCATCCTACCCTCTCTATAGAGAGAGCTTTATCACAAAGATGAAAATTTCATCTACATATGGCCACTGACACAATGTTCAGTACCTAGGATGTATGTATGAAAGAATTTGGTTTGATGGGGCTGGAGAGATGGCTCAGGGTTAAGAACACTGTCTGCTCTTCCAGAGGTCCTGGGTTTGGTTCTCAGCACCCACATTGTGGCTAACAACCATTGTTAACTCCA